TTGGCTCCTGCTCAGTGGGCAGCTGGTAGAGGCATGACAGGCCTCTCTTTGATACGCTTTAAGGAGTGTTCAGGAAGAAAAGGAGTAGCAGAGCCACCTTATTGAATCGGCTTTGTTGTCCATTTTTTGTAAGGAAATTGGAGTATTAAAGGATTCTTTTGGATGCTTTTCAGGGGTGGTGTTAGGAAAGTGGAATTTCTTTTCAGTATCTGGTGCAGCAAGTAAAGGTATCCCTTGATACTGATTGTACAGCATACATCATGGGCTTCATATATTGGGTCTATTAGTTACTTTCAGGCTGGATAGTAAAATAACATTACAATTTGATCCAGGGATTTTTCTAAAGACCTCTAGATATTTCTTGTCAGTCAGTTCTTTGTTACAATTCAGTTGCTCATGGTAACAATCTCTGTAGACTGAATCAGCTTTAATTAATATTTGGGTGTATGTTACAGTCCTGGTACATTGAAGGTTCCCTCTTTCCTTCTTCAGTTGTTTAGAGTTACCACTGTGGGGAGCTCATGGTGGGAAACTTAATAGTAAGGTCCAGCATTTCTAGAGGTTTCTCTTCCTTTTGCCAACCCAGACCTGACATTGAAAGCCAATTTTTGTCTAGGTTCATCAATAATTACTGCAAAACTTATGCAGAAAGCTGGAGGAGGCTTCAAAAGCACTAAAAAAGTCTTCAGTGGGCAGTTGCAGAAAGGCCCAAATGATTTGAGAATATGACTGTGGTTTGCTCTGTGGTTTGAAATAATTTGACCAAATATAATTATTAATCAAGGAAGCTAAAGAACTTATAGATTGTCAGACAGGATTCTAACTAAACGTTGAACCTGGTTAGAGACTACCGTCCACTATAGCCTACTACTCTTTCAGCTTTTTGATCTATTTGCTTGTAGGTATGATGAATATTGAAAGTTGTACATTCCTCAGGTGGAACTTCTATAACATTACTTGTATTACGTGAATAGTTCAAGATTATTTCTTTAACAGTAGCACATAGAAGCAAAACAAAACAAAATTGAGATAATTTATATTTGGAGTGCTGCCTGGGATAGGTGCCTGTACAGTGATTCCTTCCTCTTTCTGCTTGTCGCTTCATGAGTCATTTTTCTCTGCCAACTAATGGACTGGTCTGTCTCTTTGTCAGGCCCCCAGACCATCTGCTTCAGGGAGGACCTAAACAGCAAGCACAGAGGGGATCTTCCTACCTGCATCCCTGGGACCCAGGCTGATGAAATTAGCTAGGAAAATTAACTTCCCTCCTGGCTGGTGCACCCAGCCTGATTGACTAGATCCACTCTAACTAAAATGGGACTCTGGGACCTGTTACATGGGTGTTTGTATGCATAGACGTTTGTGTGGGTGAACCTAAAGATAGCTGAAAGAAGATGACTAGGGAGAGCTTGCAGCATAGCTCAGGAGGCCACTTTGTCCTACACTTGACATACAATTCCTGTTCTTCTCTTACGTGTTTTGGAATGATTTTGTTTGCACTAGATTTAGGACATATTTCACATGAGTCAGACTTGCAACATGACACTTTTGAGAGCTTTCCCAGTACAAGCTAAGTGCCAACACTATTATTATTCCTTATATTACGACCTGAGACAATCATGTCAGAAACCTCACAGGTAGCTTTGTCTTTGGTGATGGTGATGATTCTGACTCTTTCAAGTACATATTTTCAAAACCACTTCAATTAAAGGTTTTCTTATGAGGTTCTCTGAAGTCTTCACTTCCAGCATCTTGAAGACTGAAGGTCAAATGTTTGTGTTTTCCTGAAAATCTAGTAAATGCTGGTATTTACGATCAGGTAACATCCACCTCCTTATATGTCTCTCGGTCAGTGTCTACTTGCTGGTATCACCTTTAGATCTTTTCATACTAAAATCTTATTTCAGGAAAAAGGAAAAGCAATAGCAGAAGTTCTTCAAAAGAAGATTCACCGCTGATCTGATGTTGCAGGAGAATGTGCAGCCTGCAAAATTAATTCTAACTACTGTATCAGTCCTTGACCTTACATACAAAATCTCTGCTGTTGGTCTTGCTGCTGACTAATTTAAAAGATTTCTTTAATTAGATTCCTCGTCTCCCAATTTCTGTTCTGGAAAGTAACTGGGATGGACTTGTTCAGTAAACATCTTTAGCCGTGTAAAAATTTATATTGTCATTTATTCTCACTAATGTTTTAAATCACTAAGCTGTTTTCCTTTGTTGATTCTGTAATTAATATTTATGAAAAGTAAGAGAAGAAAAATCCTCTCATCTTTTCAAGACGTTTATTCTTTGTCAGTTAATGACTGTGCTGGTTTATAGCTTTCCTTCCAGAATCAAGAAGAAAACAACTGCTTAATTATATTATATTCTTAGTGCAAATCAGATCTGTGACTGAGTTGCCTGTGTTAATATATTGTACTAGAGCTGCAAGAGGTCAAGTTTAAAAAAGGACATCTGTGAATCCTGTCTTGGAAGAGTCTACATTATCTATGTAGAAGTTTGCAAATATACTGACTTTTTGCTACACTGTTTCAGGAGAAGTTTACCCTGTTTCCATTGATTCTTTAATAATATTTTAATATAATACTACTCTTAACATCAGTGGTGTCTGTTCTTTAAAGAAAAGATAGAAACAGTACCTATACTGGCAGAACCCTCAGGTTATTTTGAATAATGGACAGGGCATGCCAACCTTGACTGTACATACAAGAAGGGACTCAGTAAATGGAGGTCTTTATTACTCATGTGAGGCACAGCATGAGTCTGCAGTTGTTTCTGCTCACTCAGTGGTTTGAGTAGGGATTTGAAGGACCTGCTTGATTGTAAAAAGGTTCTGAGAATTTTCTGCAGAGAACTTTTCAGTTTAGCTTTGCATTAAAAGTTGAAGTTTGACTGAAGTACTGCAGAATCAAGTATTTGTATTATAATGTGTTTTGACTTCATAAAAATTGAGATCATCTTCTTGGGTGATGACCAGGTATTATAGATAGCTGAAATATATCACCGAGACTTCCCTTAAAGAAGCTACACTCCTTTTTGAGTTGATTTTTCCTTCTCAGTAGTCATTTTGATTTAATATGCCACAGTGCAGAATTAAATGCAGGATAGCTTCCTGCCAACTTCCCTGTGTCAACTTCATCCAAGTTGTATTTGAAATTTGGTGATCTTGCTGTATATTCAAAATATTAGAATATTTTCCCTAGCACCAGTTGTTCTTACATGTAGCGTGAATGTGGATAATGGTGGTGGTATCCAGGAGTACAATGAGACTCACTAAAATAGAGTGTTGCTGAGTAACTCAGTGTGCACTGCTCTGTCTGTAGCTTGAAGAAAACCAGTGGTGCTAAAAGCTGGAAATTAAGGTTGCAGTTGTCTTATCAGCATTCCACATGGTAGGAGTAACTCACTGAAGAAAGCCTGCAAAAATATAAGGAGCTAAGATGAAAGGATAGTCAGCAAAGGGAGAAACGCTATTTCTGAAATGGTCTAGGAAGAAGAGAGGAGATATGTGGTTTGGAGATACACCCCAAAACACTTTTTCAAACCTTTGCTCCGTCTGTATTACTTGAAAGCTTTCTACTACTTTGCTCTTCATCACATAAGGTACACTGAAGGTGTATGTGTTGCAGTACTCTGCTGTGATTTTAAGCTTAAGCTTTGATTCGTCCTCTAAACCATGGATCTGTCGCTAGTGTTTTGAACAAAATTACTGTCAGATGTTGCTCTTTTCAGACAAGCTCTAACTGCTACTTTCTTCACTTAATTTGTTGTAACTGTAACCACACTTCCTAAACTTCTTCTTGACTGTATTATTGCAGCATTTTGATTACCCAGTAAATTCAGCTGAAGTTTCAGACAGTACAAAAAACCCAAAGGACTGCCCATTTGTTGGCCAAAAAGGTACTGGTTCTTCAATGCAGATTCATCTGTTTCCCTTTGCAGTTCAATGTGATGACATTGCACACTTGGAGTCTCTAGTGAAGCTCGATAGAAAATATTAGCATTCTTCAGTCTAGAAACTTGAACTCTGTCTAAACGTGAAGGTTTTAGGGATCTCAGTGGTTTAATTGCAGAAACATCTTCTGCAGAAAGTAAATACTTTTTTTATCAAAAATCTTAGTTGAAGCATAATTTTTCGGGGGAACTTTGACGCAGCCTTAATGCCAAGATTCAAGAGAATGGAAATTCAAAGATTTTGTATTAATTTCTTCCATTAGCCCATCAGAGCTTGGAAATTGCTGGCTTAGACCTAGTAGTCACTAATGCACCCTCAGGGCAGAAGAGCTGCTCTGTCATCAGGCAGTGCTTTTAATTCAGTAGTACTGCACAGGGAGAGTTAGACTGAAAGCAGGACAGATTGACTCCTTGGAGTTTGATGCATAAAAGTTTCTGCATTTAGATTGCTTTGTGTGCTGGGGGGGATTGGTACTAAACATCCTCAGTCACCATCTGTGAAGTACAGGGGTGTATTGGTTCAGCAGTGGTTGAAACTATCACGTTATTTATAAAAGTAGATGCTGGCTTTTATTTCAATTTTCACTGCTTTTTGAGAAATCTCTAGTTAATCACATGGAGAAATTGTGTATGAGGAAGAAAGGCATTTGCTAATAAAAATAAGGCCTTGATATAGCCCCTTTCAGCGTAAAGATCTTTTTCTATTATTGTCAACAGTGCACAGTGAAAAATCAGTCTCTACCTCTTTGCATAAAAAAAATACATAGACTGGGAGTGATAGCATAGGATTGTCCAGTTTGCTTGTTCTTTTGGGGGCTTTTCAGGTTCACATAAAATGTAATTTTGCTTTATGATCTAATTCTTTTTCTATATCCCTAGAAAAGGGTGTGATGACTTTATCTAGTGCTCTGCTTTCTTTTTTCTTTACCAAAAAAAAAAGTGCCAAATACACATAGTCTATTCAAACAAAATTCAGCAATTTTATTCATCTATTAGTGGGAGATATCCATCAGTCTTATACTTTCTTCCTTTCTAATTTTCAGATGTATATCACCAACACAGTAAAAGCCAGAGGAACAAGGCTTGCAAAACCTGTTCTGTGCTTGGGCTTAATGTGCTTGGCTTTCCTTACTGGAATCAACAGAGTAGCAGAATATCGAAATCACTGGTCAGATGTAATAGCAGGATTTATAATTGGAATATCTATAGCAGTATTTTTGGTAAGTGTGTATCTGTGTCACATATGGTTGAAAAAAATCAGTGTGTAACTTTGTATCTCTTAAAATACTGGTAGTCTTGACTTTTAAGACAACTAAGTGATAAAAGAGATGTCTCTAATTATTGTTTTTAATTAATTATCCGTTTCCTTAGTTATATTTACATACACTCAGATATGTGAAGTCAAGAAAGGACTGATCAAATGATCTCTTTTGACTTCCTTATGAACCAGATTGTAGCATTTCAACCAATAGTTTTTTGCATCAAGCCCCACTTGAAGCAAGTGTATATCCTTCAGACTAGCATCTAGTTATGATTTCATATATAAAGTATTAAATTCAGTGTAGTGATACCTACACTGATCAAAGAATAAGTAGCATTTCTTTTCCAGCTTTAAAGTAACTATTGAATTTCTTTCATGCTAATTCAGGTTTACACTGAAATTTTATGTTATTCTGGATCAAAAAAATCATTGTTTAGCCTTTTTCTGTTCTGGAACTGTGTTCCAAAACCAGATTGTTAGTCACAGTTCACAATGACTAGTGTCTATGTCAGAAATCTGCCACTGATCTATTAATCACCTTCACTGATAACTTCAGTGCAAGAATATGGCACGGAATAGTCACTGCTGTTTACTGCGTGCAAGTTTGTCTGCCTGGCAGCTTGTAATAGTACTAAATATACCTTTGAATTTTTTCCCCATGAAAACATTTTTGAGCTTGATTCTTGAATCTCAAGATTCTTGGATCTGAAAACTTGGCTCAGGTGAGAACTCTCACAGGGATGGCTGAGGTGGGTGTTTTCACTCCTCTGAGAAATGTGAGGGCAGCTTTATGTCTCCCTTAAAATATACCTGCTCGCACTTCCAAACATTCCCTTCCACACAAGGTGTCTAGGACTTGTATTTGGTTGTTCATTTTTAAGAATTTTTTCCATTCTGTTTGTGCCCCTAAAGTCATAAAGGAAGGCAGAATAGAAATCGGTCCCAGCTTTTTTTTTCTTATATTTTGTGATCTATATTGCATAAACTCCTTTGAGTTGCATGACATCAAATTTAGTTGTGTTTTGAAGAAAATACAATGGGCAAACATTGCTGCTCAGCCGAGTGTCTTAATTAGTAGAAACACTAACAAACTGGTATATATCACATTACTAAATCCCTGTGTGAGAGTCACTGCTGCCCTGAGCAGGTTTAGAGTTTAGTTCAAACTTGGGGGTGGTCCTTGCCTTGTTCTCCCTTTCTCACTCTCCATTTGAGAAAGTCTTTGCTGGTCAAAACTTAGATGGTACTGGCCCTTCATAGGAATTTAAGGTTATTGCCATATTCTGCTGTACATGCTCTGGACATCTATTCATGACATTGCTAATAATTGGTATACTATTATTCAGATCTGGTAATGGATTTGCTTTTAGATATGAGGGGGTTTTGGTTCTCAGATGATGCATGTAACAACAAATTGGTTGAAAATCTTTTGTCTCAAAATATTAATTAAGGATTTTCTGTAAAACCTCTGTAAAACTTCACTTTTCTGTGTTTCAACTGTAAGCTGTGACTAAAGCTGGTGTCAGTTCTGCCTAATTATGGATGTCAGGATCAAAGCGCAAAAAAATGAGTTGTTCCTTAGCTATTCTGTTTATCTTCTAAACCCTTCTAGGTTGTTTGTGTGGTAAATAACTTCAGAGGACGTCAGCCAGAACATGAACATTCTCATATGGATAATCTGGCCCAGATGCCCATGATCAGCATACCCCGAGTAGAAAGCCCTTTAGAAAAGGTAATGTCTGACTTTTTAAAAAACAATTAAATAAAATGTAGCTTTCCTGGAAGGATGATCCCAAACTATCTTGACAAGAGTGCCAAGGTAATCAGATTTAAAGTAGAGTGGCACATGGCAGTCAAGGAGAAATAAGGGAAGAATTAATCCAGAGACAATCCTTGGGAGACTTCATGTCACCTCCAAGAACAATTGCTACATATCAGTCCAATTTACTGCTGTAGCCACTGCTAAGTCCATGGAGTCAGGCTGAGTAGGTCTGAGGCCCACTTCCCCTGTGTTCTTCAAGTAATTTTAACGCTTTGGCTGAGAGTCCGTAGAGCTTGAAGTGCTTAGGAAGAAAATCTAACCCTGAGCCCAAGGGTTTATGCAATTCAGGTACGACTGGCATTATTCTATTTCTTCAGGGTATGTCCTCAGGCTAGTGTAGAGCATGGGATGCAGTCCCTTCTGGATCAGCTGTGGGACTTTTATCATCAGGCATGTGCTAGCCCCAGGACAGGGTACCCACTTGAAAATGCTGGGAATCTGACACCTGCGCTAGCAGGGCAAACAGCTTAACCTGATAGTAATAGAGAGTAACATGGGTCATATAGTAACTGCACAAAAGCCATGATCTCTTGCCAAAGCAAATGGGATTTTGGACTAGGACAGGCTACTGATAGTCTCCTGGGTATGCCAAGACTGTTTGCATGAGTAAGTATCGCGATGTGTTTAAAATTTATTTTAGTTTCCTGTAATAAAAAATTATGGTTTTTGAAGATGATGTTATACTGTGTAAGTGTTAGGTAAGATTATGTCTAAACAATTTTATGAGCAAGCAAGCACTGAAATAGACAGTATAACCAAATAAAGAAAACATTTTAGGCATTTTTACCATGGAGAAAGTTTGAACTACTAATGTGAAGTTTGAAAGCAGTCCTACTTTTTCTAATGACTCTATTTGTCATTATTTGTTAAAATCTCCTGTGTTATGCCCATGTTTGAAGATAGTAAACAATTCTAAACTGGATAGGGCACCAAAAGTATGTTTCTATGGCATTCTTTTAAATCCAAATTACTCCTGACATTATTTTCATATTAAGCATAAGAAGAAATGCTTTTAACCACTTCCCAGTTTGTCTTAGTCACTTGGAAGTGGTGGAAGTTGTCCTTCAGTAAGCAGTGCTGCTAGCCCTGGGTTTGTTATTCCTTTCCTTGAAGGGAAAGAAAGATTTCTTTTCAGAATGATCTAACATGCCTTTTTGAACCAAATGTGTCTAAGCTACTTCTCCTGATATGTTGTCATAAGGAGGTCAGAGTCTCATTTGCTTGAGCAAGCATTTAGATGATGAATGTGTATCTTCAAAATAATCCATTCAGTAAACTTTCTGTAAAATGTCAAAACAAAACAAGATGTCAGTTGGCCTAGGACATACCACATTAATAAGAACATGTCTTATTTACATGCTAGGCTCTCCTGCAGTAGAAGCCATTTTGGCAGTTCAAAAGCCATCATAGGTAATAAATGTACATTCTCTGGCTGTTGAAATTTTTAATTTATTTCTGGGGATAAAGACCTCATGTTAACATAGCGTTTCTACCTGATTTGACGCCCTCTTGCTCATGACGAACAATGTTCTTTTCCTGAAGCTTGGCCTAGGCAAGATTGAGATGTTGTGGGGAAAGCTATAGGAGAGTGTGCAAGGGTGGTGGCAGGCATGATGTTTGCTCTGCTTGAGGATGACCTCTACCATTTGTGAATTGCCTAGGACTCTATTATATGAATGAGCTTCTTTCCTTCTGAACCCATATTCCTATGGCAGTAGAGGGTAGCTGTTTGCTGTCATGGAACTTCTCTCTAGATGATGAAATTGGGGACTATCCACAGGGTGTTTACACGTGGTGAGATCTCAGTGTATGGGTTCATCTTTGTCTATGTTGCAAAGCCTTTCTCCTTTCCAGACAGAGAAGATGAGATGGGAGGATGATAACATGGAGACTTTGCTATTTGTTGGGAAATGCTTTCTTCTGTTTCCACTCTCAGAAAGTTTAAATTTGAATTAGCAAATAATTGATGAAGAAGGTACTTACATGTGAGTGCTTTAGGTGTTGAGTTTTTGTGGATTTTTTTTTTTAATGTTTAGTCTAAAGTTTTAGATAGAAGCCAGACCCTGTTAAAAAAAAGGCACTAAGAATAATACTTACATGGAACTAAGGTCTAAATTGAACCATCTCAATTAACTACCATCACTACAAGAATGATTAACTTAGTCTTTACTTTTTAACTCCCTTCTTATTTTACATCCTTTGTTCTCCTCTGGAGAGAGAGGGGTGCTAAATAATGTGTGTGCTACTTGCCTTTGCCTGCTTTAGCCACGTGCAAGTTACTTTTCACTACATTTCAGTTAGGGCTGTTCTAGTTTCCTATTCTGAATGCACATACATTTACATTTGGCTTATTTTAAATCTGTTTTTCCTTGTTCTTAGACTGCAAGCTCCTGTGCCAGTATTAAAGACAGTTTACTGTCAGAAATTAGCTACTAAGAGTAGCACAAATCCTGACTGACTGAAGTTATCATGGGCTAAGGCAGTGCTAGCATGAAGCAATGGAACTCTGTTATTGGTATTTAAAAATAATAACTATATGGGTATCTGGGAGTGAGCTGTCTTAAAGAATTATTTAATTAGAAATGACTACCAGATGGGACCTCACTTATTGCAATTTTGTTATAAATTCACCCGTAAATGATTAAGCACGTGGTATATCACACAGACCTGGAAGCACCTTATTTTTGTGTTTCCAGATCTGCTACTTGCTATTCCAGTGCTTTTTCCTGCTGGACGACGAATGCTCTTGGCATGCTTGGCATGTTCTCTGCGCTGCCACTGTCTGAGTTTTGGTGGAGGTCAAGAGCTACATTTGAAGTGTACTTAAATAGGAATATGTGTACTTGTAATATTCTGAATTGAGCTGCTGCTGGTTAATGACAAGGGTAGATCACTGTTTGCATGACACTTCTGTTTAATTGTGGTATATGCAGATGATTAAGCTGTTCTGCATGGGTACCCACTTCTCACACACTCAAATGAGCCATAGTTGCAGTCTCCTTGAAGAACCCTTGCCAGAGCTGGCTCAGCAATGCAGACTTATTGCTTTCACCTTAACTACATTCATCCTCAAAATTAATGGAAAGAATGAAAGCCAAGAAACCTCATCACTCACTCCTCTGCTCCTTTTTCTCTCCTGTCTCTGACCTTCTTCATCTCTTACAAGACAATTCGTGTTTCAGTTGGCTGGCACTCTCTTACAGAGAGGAGGCTCTCTTCCTACCACAGTCAAGGTTAGGGAGTCCTGTTCTTTTGCAAGAGTTACTGGGAAATAGCAGTATTCTGAGTGGTACCTAGAAGAGTTTAAATTTCAGCTTCATACATTGCAGTCATAAACTATTTTTTCTGTTTCAGGGGAGACTGACATTATTTCATGCTAAAGTCACCTGAAACTGGCCAGGGCTTATACAGGGCTCATACACATCTTGTAGTAGCTGCTGACTCTCCTAGCTTTTTTATTTTTTTTTAAATAAGCATTCTAGCTTTGAAAAAATCAAATACAAAGGGGTCATGGAGCATTTTAGTACTAATTGAAGCAGTAGATGGAATACTGAGGCAAGAGATTTTAGAAGGAAGTGTTGGGTTAGGAGAGGCACTGTGGTTCATCTCCTGTGGGATGAGATTATTACCGTGTCTGATCATCAGTGCTTTCTGTAGTGGTTCAATATTACTTATTTGCACAGTGGGTTCTTTGCAGTGCTGTCTTTGACAGCTAAGCTGCATTTATCCCCAAAGTCTCTGCTTGGCATTCCTTCATAGTGCTACTTGTGTCCCCAGAGTCACCGATCCTTGTTACAATGAGGTTTCTTATACTCCACCCATAGGACTGACTCTCCAGCATGACTGTGAACTAGAAACAGATAGTTTAGGGTGTTTCCCCCCACTTTTGACGTTTTAATGGTGATAAGTATTTGGAATTCCTCTCATAATATGTGACATTCTTGTTGCCTATCATACCAATTGCTAGTGACTATTAGGGTTAATTTTCTCAAAAAACTCTTTGAGTTTGACACTGTAATTCTTGTCCTATTGTGTATGTGCCAAAGGTAATGGTGGTGATAAAACGTTTTAACAATAGTAAGTATAGGTATTACAATGGATTCTGATAGTATTTTAAGACTGGGGAAGAGTTCCCCTTCTATTTTTAAGGTATAAAGTTTTTTCTACTTACTCCATCTTGATTATTTACAAGACATAGAACAGCTGCTTCACAGTGTCAGAAAAGGGTATTTTTAATTTTAATTCTCAGTGTTACTGCTTTTTCCTTGGTCTTAAGCATTTTGGTACTAAGAAGTCTTTCATTGCTATGTGCACTTGTGTGCACACAGCATGGCCTAGGGCATCCAGTCTGATCCCTGGGGCTCTCCAGGGAGACTGATCACCTGTCACTGAATTCACAGGCTAAAAACAAAACACGAAGATGTTTTAGCTTATCATACTGTGGGCAAATGGGGGAGAAGTTTTGTGTATATTCCCATTGCTTCAAAATATTTTAGTTGAGAAGTATCCAAAAACTGTTGTGCTTGATGTCCAAAAGTGTACACAGGTCTCCGTACAGTGTTTTAGTACATGTATGTGTATCTCCAGGATGGCTTGACTAGAGTCCATGTGCTCACATTAGCTTATAGGCAGGTTTTCAGATTTCTGTGGTCATAATGGTTCCCTTGATAACACAGTATGTTAAAGGAGATATAATACAACATTGTTTCACACACAGAAACACATACCCAGGAGAGGCAGCTCATAGAAGACCATAAGCAATTTTGTTTCAATGTCAAGCATTTGCACTTGCACTTAGGTCCTACTCTAGTGCTTAAATTTACTTCTGGGGGATTGTACAAGAATGCAAACTGTGATCACCACATCTAATATTCAGATAAAATAATGCTTAAACATAGGAAATGGAACAATATATTCATTGTGACCTCCTCAAATATATGTGTTGTAGGTGTTACAGAATCAAGGTATTAGTAACAATCAAGAAGATCCTTTGCAATGAAACTCCCTCAAAGCATGCATCCTTAGGTTCTTCTCTTGGATATCAGGAATGGACCGTTTTGAACATCTTCATATAAGTCAATAAACGTATGTGTGCAAGAGCACACATAAGTGTGTGTGGAATTGAAGCAAAGGCAGTGTGGCAGCAGTGTTCCATGCAGGTCTGCAATGTTTTAAGTGGGGAATTTCACTTGAACTCATTCTTTTCTCTAAAAATGAGATTCATCCAGTAAAAGCATAAAATATATTTGTTGACCCAGAGAACTGTATGATAACATTATTATTGCTGTATGATAAATTATCATTTGCCTCAACTACTACAGTAGTATTTTTCTGTTTCTTTTAACAAACTACTGTGTGAAGGACTACAAACCATTTTTCGAATTCCTGTTTTCAAAAAGGGAAAAGTCTTTTTTGGGATGACTATTTTTTAATATTTCTAACTGTATTCATGAGAGCAGAACAAAAAAATTTCAGGTAAAAAATATTTCATATACGTAATGAAAACGGCAAACCACAAAAAAGTCGTTATGGCTTTTTTTCAATGCTTTAATGTTATAGAATTGCTTATAAACAGAAATTAATTAAAATCTTAACAGAAGATATATAGGTATGGATCATTTCCCCCCAGAAACCTGCACTCAAGGCTTAGCCTTTAGCTTTCATTTTTCTGTTAGTGGTGTGAGAGCGCAGTTACGAAGCATGCTTTGTTCATGGAGTGCTGACACCAAGCTGATACTGTCAATTTAGAATGAACAATACAAAAGCTGGCGTGCCTGTCTGTGAAACTGCTGTTGTTGAGCAGACCCTCAGCATATTCTAATTCTTTTGATTACTGTAGGGAAAATAATTTCCCATGGAGTTGGAGAAGCTGAGGTCTTGTGCATGGTTTTTTGCTTGTCTCCTGCATCTGCGTGAATCTGCTGACAGTGGTTAGTATCTCACACTGAACTTTGTCACAGTAAATCTAGCAGAAGTAAAGAGCATAGTAAGAGAGTTGAAATGCACTTATTCAAGAGGGATGCTGTTCGTTTATTTTTTTTCCCGTAAAGAGTCTCAGCAAACTTATTTGTACTTTTGCCTGAGACGATAACATAGGAAAATGCATGAATACCCAGACAGTTGCATGAATCTGTATCAGTGATTCTTGCCATCAGCAAGTGATTAATTTTGACCTAGTTATGCATCACCCTGCTGAGTGCATTGGAAATGAATTGACAAGCCTTCACTAGGGTCCAAATCAATAGGTCTGCAATCAGTAGCTTAGCAGTTCTCTCTGAGGGTTTATTGAGGAAGGGGGATTTTCTTCTGTGGTGTTATATCCCATGCTCTGCATGTCCTTCCAAGGATGGTGACCTGCTCATTTTGGAAGTATAGCTGGCAGGAGTGTGAACCACATTCTCCTTTCCTAAGTAATAGTTACCCAGTCCTGAATTAATGCCACATGAAAGAGCATTTGGTTCTCTGCGTCACAGACAAATGTGTGTCGCTTAAAGAAAGGGATAGCATGTAGCAGGACTTCAAAGAATTGATTAGATTAAATAACAAGGAATTTTTTTTCCTCCAATTCCTCATTTTTAAACCATCTTACTTATCAACAAAGTGAATAGTTTTAGACTGATGCTAGTTTAATTTGACAGGATAATTTTCAGGTCTAAATAAGGAAAAATAAAGTAAATACTGTGAAGAAAATGTCATATTAGCCACACAGCAGCTACAGAGTCATTGAGGTTGCCCAATGTATCGTCTTTCCTGTACTGAAAGCAGAAAATGGCCAGCCAACTAAAATGCTTTGAAATGTTAATGTTTTGTTTTCTAATTAGGAATCTAATTTTACTTTGATTCTGCAGAATTGAAATCTGGAAACAATGATATTTTCCAATATTGTTTTTTCTAATGCTTCTTAAAAAATCTGCTGGCTATGGTTTAATCATTGTTATTTATTTAAAATATATTCATTTTATTTGGAGAAGAATGTACGTAGATGCTTACTATTTGGTGGTGTTCTCTTATGAAAGCTGTCATAAAATACAGCAAGAACATTGCTAGAGCTAAGATGCATATTATAGGGCAGGGGAAAGAGAGCTCCTCCTCCTGGACACTGTACAGTTATGGCACAGTGAGAGAGGGAGCAAAGCTGCCAGCCTTGTTTGGGGAGGGGGGGAACAAGAGGTAGCTCTCGTGTGCTTCTACTCAGGGTACTTGAGAGACAAATATCCAGACAGTTTAAAGAACTGACAAGTCCAAACTTGTGTGGTGGCCACTGTTTCTCTCCAGCACTTTCTATGGTGAGTGGTAAGGGATTTTCTGAAGGACTTGGAACAACTTCCCCTAGCAAAAAAAGGGACATCTATCTATCCCACTCTCCATGAGTTATCTACATCCCCCCCTCTCCTCTTCAGCTTACACCTCTTCTCTTCTGACTTTGGTCAGCTCCAGGAGGGAAGGTGATGAGAGAAATCTGTAGTGCTTTGCATGGTATTATTTCCCTCTGTGCATTTTTGTGCTGGGGAACAAACGTGGTTTAGCATCAAGATTCCCTTTATTAATTTTATACATTGCATGTTTTATAAAAAATGGTGGCAGTCTAAGGTACTGTGTGCCTAAAGGGAACATACAGTTCCTTTGGATCCTGCACATCACGGTGCAGTTAAGTCTTCAACTAACAAACATTTGCAGAGGCACTTGCTTAGGTTAGAGCATGAAAAAATAGCAAAGCTCTTTGGGATGCTGTAGTTTTACTGTGTAGAGTCACACATAGTATATTCACATTCTAATACGCATCTTCATCTTCGTAAGAATCGTCCTGTTGAAGGAAAGTGGAGAATAACATTTGAAATGGAGAGGACACTGTAGTGATTCTGAAAAAGAAATTTTGAATGAGTTCTCAATTGCTGAATGCAATTTTGTTGTAGCATTTCGCTACTTGATTCTATGCCACCGAGCTCATGGGGAGCAATTAATCTTTAAAAAAATGCAACATTAAAATTGTATTAACACTGAAATAGAATATTATAATCTGTCAGAAACTGTCATTTTAATTTCTAGGAATTTTGCTTTAAATTATGAATAAGATAGCAATAAAAGTACAGCTAACTCAGTTATTCACATTGTTACTTAATTTTGAAAAGCCCATCTAAAACTAAAATATTGTAGAACCATCGCACCTAATTACTTTGTTCAGCATACTTACATATCCAGTCTTTCAGCGATTAACAAAGAGTTGCTATGGGAGTGAGTGAGAACGCTGCAGTGAAAACCAGTTTCATTTACATCATCCTGCAATAGTCTCCAAGCATAAGGCTGTCCCTAAAGTACCAGAGGCAAAAATTTTCACAGTGGTGACTGATGTCTGTCTGTGTGGTTTCTGGGTTTTTATCTGTTTGTTTTTCCTTTAACTCGTAGAACCACATCACGGCCTTTGCAGAAGTCACATGATGTTGACGCTGATGTATATTCACTCCATTGGACTTCATCTCTTTTCACAGCCCACACACGATAATTGCAGTGTATCAAAAATAAGAAATTTTTAGAAGTCTTATTTCTGACTTGATTTTTACATCTTTAAAATTATACCAACATTTTGAAGAATTCTTAAATATTAGAATGTCACTTTACTTTCTAGCAAAAATAGTAACTGTTTACTTTTTGATGGAATGGGACAAACTGAGCACTAATTACATTTATCTGACAATACCCTCTATTTTGGCTTCTCATTGTTTTTAATGGTTCATGTACCTATTCCAACAGTACTTCATATTTTGATTTTACTTTGATTTTTAAAGTCTACATTTTTAATTCAGCATGAACTTGTTTCCATTTGAGGCAATTTCAGTGTATAAAAAATAGACAAATATTATGTTCTGTATGAAAATGCTTTTTGCACATTGTATTACGCTGTATTCCATGTAAGATATCATTCAAACAGTATGTTATATGTAAGAATGGTGCTTCTGCTTTTGAAGAGAAAAAAAAATGCCAATTTTTACTGTAATAAGTATTGTATAATAATTAAAAGTTTATTTATTTGGGTATTTTCCTGACATAATTGTAGTTGAATTGTTGTTTTGTAGTTCTTGAATGTCTTGGATGATATATATGTATCTAGGTTAAGAGAAATGAAAATAATATAGAAAGTTTGATCATTGATATATTCTTTATTACTAATGATACCCCATGAAAGGTTAAGGGCTCCATTCTTAGCTCAGCATGTCTGATGGGAAGCCGTATTACTCATAAGTCGTTTAAACAAATTGTTCAAGGAAGGCTGCATCTTCTCGTATTTGTTGTACACCCTGATATTATGCTGGGAGAATGGGTGCTAAGATAAGAAGAGGGTCACTGGCTTAGTGAGAAAAATGCATATGAGTTTCTACTTTCCATTTTCATGTTGGAGCACTCATGGAAAAAACAAAATGGCTTCATTAATTTTCTTCAGCCTAAAGGACCAGAACAGGCAGACTTTCTCTCTACAAATCTTTCTATCTCTGTTTGTGTTTCAGGGCCATATTATTGCAAAAAAATCCTCGGTCAGTCTGTGCAGTGTTGATGAATTGATTTTTCTTCAACATCAGGCAATGTTATATCTCTGTTATTGCTGTGAATAGTCAAATTGAGACTCCTCTTCAAAAGACAGCCTCACTGACGATTCATAGTGAAGTTGTCCTACAAAAACTGAGCACTAAATGGATCTGAATATTGTAGATGCTGAAGATGCGCTTAACATCTGCCAGAAAGTTTTCCTCTGGCAACAGCTGATACCACACTAGCACTATAGACACATTGAGAATAGTAATGTTCAGTACAGGCTGTTGAACAGTCTAGGCCTTAAATTTTCCATAATTCAGTGTATTTCCTGTGCATTAATGATTGTTAGAAGATGTTTGAAACATAAGGCTGTAGAACCAGGTATATATTTTCTGTGATGAATTTTAATGCATTCACACATAGTCATCCAGGTAACACCTACTTTTTACTTTTTATTTTAACCTCTGCTTTCTCTAAAATACAGCTACTGAACTAGCGCTTGGCAAATGGGGCAAGGCCAAGTCACTTTAGAGTGCAGTATCTCCCAAAGTCATTGTGCTAAGCTGAGAATTAGAGAATAAAGGAATACATCAATGGGGACAAAAATCCTAGAATAGAGCCCTTAGCTACAACAATGTTACTTAGGTGATTGAAAATCCACCTTTATTAGACTATCAACTGTGTTTACGAATTGTAGTAGGTTAAAGTTTGTATCACCATGTTAGGCACACTTACCCTTCTCTTAGTCTACCTATGTAGGGTCCAAGGTACTAATGATATCTCTGTGTGCAGATTTAAATGAAATCTTCACTCATTTTTGCATGGTAGCAAACCTGCATTTTTATATCTGATTTATAAGATTACCAAGAGATTCTTTTATGTTAAAAGAGATGACTCTTTTTCAGTGTACTGTATATCATCAGCTTGTAACTGGTCTCTTTCTCTCTCAGGATCTTTCCCAGTCAAATATTTGGGTTAAATTTATCATATCTCCATGAACCAGCAGTGAGAAAACAAAAAGAGAGACGCTCTGCTGTATAATGTATTTTTAAATAAAATAATTTTTCATTCATCTGTAGTGTATTTTTTTTAGATATCTGCTGTAGATATATTTTGGTCGATAGTGTGCATATAATGAAATGATGATTTTAAGTCAGCTGCATTTGATGATATATTTTCACAATTAACCAGGAATCCCCACAGTTAACTACCTTCCCTTAGATGTGGTTCTGGTGAAATTGAAAAGCAGGAAAGGAAGAGCTGTGTTGCAGAAGAGTCCACAGCCTGTTGGTAAAGGAATGTCCCCAGGATGTGGACCAGCCAAGCTCCAGACCCTACTTTGACTGATTTTTCAGAAGTGGCAAGAATTTACCTCTCCCACACCTGTACCTCTCCACTGCTCTGGAACTTGGGCCTTCGCTTTTCCATTGTGGACCCGAAAATGCTTTCAGTAGGAACAGTTTGCCAAAACAAAAGTAAGTTGGCATTTTCTGACTAAAATAGCTTTTTGGTGGTTGCTTTTAAAAAAAATGCCAGTGAGGAGCCTATGACAAACAAGCATCATCCCTCATTCAGGGAATATTCTGGTACAGAGTGGTTCCTAATAAAAACACTGTTGTTGAACCATTTCAGTGCTTTTGAATGCAGCTGGTTTTCTGATCCTTGTGGACCTTTTCTATGTGTCCTTCAGTGACACAGCTCCATTCTATTTATAAATGAGATGTTTAAGAAGCATCTCTAATGCTATATGCTGCTGTGTTTCTAAAAATGGAATTCATAAGGCATGTGGGTACACAGCTGGGCTCATATCCATACCATTTTAGATTCCCTTATATGTATTCTGCGGTTTGTTCATAATCATGAACTACATAAGACATACAGTGATAGCATCTGGGCTCACATCTCTCAGCTTTTAAAAATTGTTCATTTTAACAATATGTATTAAAAGAGGATAATGTTGGTATTTTTCAGTTACAATTTTCTTTGCTGTTCTTGCCTTCTAATTTTGTTGCTGTTCAAGATCACAGTGAGTGTGACAGTCCATTTGCACATTGTTAGTAGGGAGCTTTTTATACTCTTCTGAGGTCTAATTTCAGTATTTCTGAGGCTTGCCATGCAGAAAGCAGAGTGCAGTACATTTTAGGAACAGATAACCTGAGTCTGTTTTGATCAAATACATCCCTGGCCATCTGCGTAGCCTTGGCCTTGGGGACACTCAGGAGCATTTGCAGGTGGAAGGGCAAGCAGACCTCCAGACCTTTCAGCCTTGCAGCACCTCCCTCCAAGCACACCAAGAACATTTTCACCAGGCTCTGCCTCCGACAACTGACTCGACCCCAACACACCAGATTTCCCTGCTGTACATCAGCACTTTTCATCTCCCCTTGACGTGCGGAAAACAGACTCCACAATCAGTGAGATTGTAAAGTAGGTATGTTCATTCAGCGCTGGGCGGCACAGGGGGTAGTCCCACCAAAGTCGTGCGTGCCTGATTTGGCAGTTCACTTTAAATTTATACAGTCAAGTGTTACATATACACAGAGTTTCGCGATACGCCTATACATAGGCATTACCTATCCCCGCTTCATATTAAAATTAGCCCTAGGAAGTCATTTCCATAGTCTCCTCTCAACTGCGCTTGCGCAGTGCCTCCTTATGGTGGTCGTCTGGTGTTCGTGAAGATGAAGGCTGTATGTCTTCTTCATGGTGAACTCTTAACCTTCTGTCCCTGCGCAGACTCAGTTGTCCCTTGGCATTTGTCCAAATCACAAGGTCGGTCTTGGCTGGTTCTTGGAGCCACTGCTGCTTCTTATCAGGGACTATCTCCTGTCCCAGCCAGCCTCAACAATGCAAGCGTTAAACATCACTTCTCATCCCCTTGGGCCATGTCTACCTCTATTGAAACTTCTTTAACTTCATTATAAGCTAGATAATTATTAAACAATTCTTATCCACATTCATATATCTACTATATCAGCTAAGGTTTCTTTGGTTCCCCGTCTCACCCTCACGTACCTTTAAGAAACTGGACAGATCAAGAAAGATACCATGCCCTCACCCTGAAGTGTACTACAAGCACGACTGCAGCTGGGACTCTCACTTGGACAAGTGGAAAGCCAAATGAATGGGGACCTATCATGGCTTCAGCTTTTGGCCTTCTCCTCCACTTTCTAGGCCTTTTGGTTTTCAGGGACTTCCACAAAGGAAAGTGAAGGAAAGTTTCACAGTCTCTCTGCCCACTTGAACCTCTGCTGCATGCCTAGGGTTGAGCAAGATTTGCTCTTGCTGTTGGCCACCAGCGGCTTTCCACTAAAACGCAGTGTTGCCTTTTTGTCATCCTCTATTGTGTGAGAATGGCTGAAAAAGCTCCTTAGGGTTTCCAGGTTTGACCTGATGTTCTGGGAAGGGGAAACTGTGAACACTCCAGAAATAACCCTGTCAGGCTGGGAATTGGAAGGCCTAGTGTGACTGTGTGATAAGCCTGGTTGTTTCCTCAGCACTCACTGAATTGCCATGGCAACGTATGACTCTAATAGGTTTGCTTTTGATACTAAACTGCCTATATTTGCCTCATTGTGAAAGCCTAGTCCACTTCCAACACAGAGCATTAGGTACTTGGTTCCCTGCACAATACTGGAGCTTGTCTCTCTGTAAAGAATCCTAGGAAGTGCAGCATATCCTGTATGAAACCTGTCCCCAGTGTCTGATGAACACTATCCTAGACAAGTTGGTGGTAAGATAGCTGTCATTAAGGCTAGCTTCAAAGATGCTTTGCTCCCACTTACCTAAAAGGATATCATGATCCAGGCATGTTCAATGATCACTCTAGCTGGAAGCAATATAACTGGCTAGTGCCCAGGCTCTGACTACTTTTTTTCTGAAGATGATGGTGACATCCAGTTCTCTGCCTATCATGTCCTTGAACTCAATTTCTTCCGTTCCAGTTGTCAGGCCTTGATACTACATTCTGCTGTAAGATGTGATATTCATGAGGCATAATGGGAGAGTGGCTGTGTTCATTGGCAAACCATTTTAGATACCCTTACATGTCTTCTGCTCTTGGTCTGTTATCACTAGCTGTGTAAAACATTTGGAAGTAAGCTAATCTAATTGAATTAGGACAGTTTAATTCTGAATAAAAGTATGCATCCAGAGGTTTTATATGATTCTAACTAATCTACATCAAATCTCTAGCTAATTCAGATAAACCATCCTGCTCAGTTGTCTCCTGTGTGGACAAGTCCTAAGCCTTTTTTTCCCAGAGGAGCTCTACTGTTGTAATACCTTCCCCTAGTGAATATAGCCAGAACAGTGTGTGGCAGCCAGCTTCCTGAAGTGATTACATCAGCAGAATAATAATCTCTAAATTATGCACCTGCTAGTGGCTTCATTAGTGGACTGCGTGCAGAGGACTGCTCTTATGCTCTGGAAGTGATTAAGAATGGGCACAATGGTAATCTCCAACTGTGAAATTACTGAATCCATCCTCTAAGATGGGGGCTTCAGTAGAAGCCCCAGTAAAGAGTTTTAGTCCCCAAACCAAATTCTTTGCACCAGTGTTCTCATCTGACAGCATTCAGATCTAAATAAATATATAAAAATAAGAAACCAAACCCTTTTTTCTGACAAATCTCTCCCTAAATAACAATGTTATACCTAAATACATATTCTCTGCAGCTACAGGGAACTTGTCGTCTTGCTGGCAATCTTTAATGTGGTTCTGAATGTGAGATGCTTGAGTGGTGAATTCTTAGGACTGCTCTGAAGTAGGCAAATAACCCTAAAAAAGAGACTAAACATGTCTACAGCTGTAGAAGAAAATCTAAAGAGCTACAAAACGAGATGGGGATGAATTT